AAGCCTGATTCCGAACTGGATGAGTTCGAGAGAGTGCGTCTAGGTTCTTTACCTAGGGGTAATCCTGTAACGAACCTCATCCCCAGATACTTGAAGAGCACAAGCGGCAAGGAGAGGAAGATCACCTCCTCGAGAAACGGGCCGAGAAGAAGAAGGCCGCAGCAAAGAAGCGTGCCACAAGGCGAAGTAAGTTGATTCACCCAACGCAGAGGAGACATTGGTGCTCACCTGTCGAGCCATTAGCTGGTAGGAGGAAGGCACAAACTGAGGACCCTGATTCGGAGTGAGGATCGTGCCAGAGATTTGTACACATTGTATCAGCACCTGTATCAACATACGAAAATAATCTATAGGGATAATAGGAGAGCCACCGAGTACACGAGAAAGAGTCTGTAAGGAGCGTGAGGATTATACTGGACGAAGTCGAGATGATATTCAAGGAGTGTGGTAGGGGCAAGAGAAATTAGCCCACGAAAGCAATAGATGAAGCCGATTGTAATGGAGATGAGTTAAGATACACGATGCCGAATGCACTTAGTCCGATGCGATAAGAAAAGATCCTCCGATGATACCATGGTATCCATGAACGAACGAAATGTCAAGAAGCGAAGTTGCATCTACGTTTCCGCCTTGAACTTCTCACCTCCTCCCCCTCCGGGCATGATAGCTTTCATGAAGGCATAGAACCGCTCCGCGTACTCCGCAGGTGGTACTGGACTAATCTTATGCTGTTAATTATGGGCAGCGTTAAAACCTGGTGAGTTGGATAGAGCTGAGACACTTACTCGATCGCTCTGTAGCCCTTTCCAGAAGTGTTCCAACTTCTTCAGTGTACTGTAAGGCGTCAAGATATCGATTATACCCAAGTAGTATATGGTATCGAGTTCTTCATTCGCCTGGTCAGTAGCACGCAATCCCCCTTCGTCTTGGTAGAACAAGAAATGTTGCCGGTCGCCTGTATCGCACTCGGGCAGAGATTCCCCTCCCGGCGCGTCCAGTCGCTTTGGATCAGACTCGCGCATTGCTTTCCGAATCGCGATAGCTTCTGGTGATGACGACTTCAGTTGCGTAGGTTTCCGTTTCATGCGAGGCATGTTTGGCTGCATCGACCAGATCAATAAAACGAACAAATACCCAAGAGAATTCTCGTACCGAAAACACTTTTAGTGTATTTCTCCGCAGGTTATCTCTGTTCCCCCTGCGCATATTATGGATCCCCACCAACAGACTGTAATCCATAACATCAAGAGACTTGAGTAACTCCGAGTCTCTCCTTATTTGCTCCGTCAGCAGCGCCCTCTTCTCCGGACCCAGCTCTAGTTGTTTATGCCTGTTGATCCAGTTCAGGTCTTTCAGCACCGCTCTGGGGTTCTTTGCCGCCTTCTCTTCCGGATACTCCCTTCCAACTGTGCTGCCTTTCAGGTCGTACGTCTCGTGAATGTCCTTATGCGGCGGAAACAGGTTATTCATGATCACGAAATGAATCTTCTTCCCTCTAGGCAGCTTCACCCGGTGCAGACCGTAAAACCGCGATATGAGCGTATGCGGGTTGTTCTTGATATGCTCATGATACTGCTTCAGTATTGAACGAAGGAACTTGTGCTCGGAGTGGTGGATGGTCTTGATGATGAAGCGGTAGTCTCTCGAAAAGTAGAAGAACGAACCCGACTTGCCGGGCGAGCCGAGCTCCGAGAGGATGTACTTAGCGGTAAGCGAGACGAGGTAGTCGGAGGGGTCCAGGTGGAAGTGGTCTTCTCGCAGCTCGCGGAAGACCCAGGGCGCGTAGTCCTTGAACTTGAAGTCGTACTTCGCCGCGGGTGTCAGTTCGTTACCGAGGCTACAGGACGATGAGCCGGACACGCGCGAGTGCATCGGAGAGTACGTACATGTCAAATGAGTATTTGTGCCGCGCGACGAAGTCCTCGTCCGTGAGGGGCCGCTTCATCTTTGCTTGACACCGACTCACCTGAGCGTCGTCAACACGAGGTCAGCCTAGCGAAATCGCAGAACGCTCACCGCTATCCGAATTCCCGTCAACATATTGTACATCAGCACATAGTTGACGTGGTCCTCCCCAATCAGATTCCCTACCAACACCTTATTCTCCTCGTCCCGCACCCCGCCCACCCCGCGTGATATCGACATTGAACGTGTCAGCGCCGCCTCCGCCTCCTGTTGCGCCTTGGCGCGCTTCGTCTGCCGCTCCCTCCGGATCTGCTCCGCCTGGATCTGGATGTCCGTCGCCAACTCGCCGTCTGCATCCACGTCCTCCAACCACTGCCCGCCAGAGTACGACGAAGGTGCCGCACCACCTTGGGTCATCTTCCGTCTTGCATGCGTCCTGGGCGACTCTGGCGGGTCTGTCGAACCTGTGGTGTTCCTCCGCGTCGGCCGCTTATGTGAAGAGGGCGGCGGCGGTTGCAGATAGCCATCGGCAGACAGGTGTAGAGCAGCGCGGTCACGATTTTTTGCGGGAGAGCCTTTCTCATCCTCGTCGTCACGCGGTTTTGTGGCAGAGATGAGGGACGCCCTAGTCTCCGTTGAGGATCGGTGAAGGAGGTGGGAAGAAGGTCCAGCCCGGGAAGAGGTGGACATCGACGTCGGCTCTTCGAAAGTGACGGCAGGCTCTGACCTTGCATTCTTCATCTTCGGCGGCGCAGATACGTCCAACGACGCGCGGGCCCCGATCACGTCCTCTTCCTCGCTCGGGCCCGGCTCCGAGTTCGCCATCACCATCTTCGGGGGCACCGAGGGCTCCTCGTCGAGCCCGTGCTCCTCGCTCGCGGGCGGGGACGGCGGCGGCGGCCCAATCGTATCGTCATCGCAGCGCAGGCCGTCAATCGGCGGCATCACGCGCGCGATCGACTTGCCTATCCGCTGCGAGAACGTATCCGGCGGCGGGCCCGGCTCGACCTGCACGCTGTTGCCCGTGACCTTGACAATGTGCACCTCCTGCGGCTGCCTGCCGCCCGGCGGGTGCGACAGGGTGTGGAGCGGGTTCACGCCGATGCTGTCCTCGCGAGCGCTGGGCCCCACCGTGTGGGTCGACGAAGAGTGGGCTGAGCTGGACCGCGAGTGCTCGTCCGAGGCTGTCCTGGAGGTCTGGTACGACAAGCTCGACGGTGAGAGCGGCGAGTCGAGCTGTGTGGGAGAGGATGAGCGTGCCAGCACGGTTGCGGCCATTGCTGCTGCAGACGACGTCGAAGACAAAGACTAGAAAGGTGTTGTAGAGTACTGTGTATTGCTGGCCACTGTGGTTGTAGAGTAATTAGGTCGTCGACATCCAGAGTAGGTCCGCGGTTGTTTTGGATGGCGACCAAGGCCAAACGTGGCTGTGTTTCCCTCTGCCGTCCTTCCGTTCCGACGGTAAGCGCTTGATATAGCCGGCGACGGATTCGGTATGTTTGTGATATGTTTTTCTCTTTTCAGCGTCATGCGATGACGGTCTTCCTTGGTCTATCCAAAACGCCTCCGTCGCTCGGGGAAGCAGACATACGCAAGTCTGGCTAGCAGCACGCAGAGACATCGGGCACATGACAATAAATATTCCATGTCGAGGGAATGCCTGACACATGATGAACGACTTAGCAGTTATCACTACAGACGAGTGGGGGGGGGGGGGAGGAAGGGGGTGTTCAGGCTGGAATGAGCTTGGGGACAGTGAGTGACATCAATTAGCGATGTTCCATATACTACGGGGGACGTTCGTGGACTACGATGGGATAGATAGTGAAAATACATATTGGCGGAGACATACTGGTATAGTTCAAGTATTGCATGGTTGTCTGGACTAATGTTCATCTCAAATTTAACAGCGACTGCCAAAAGGTCAGCACACGCAAGGCAATGACAATATACCAGACTCACCAATTACCTGGGACGTCGCAGCGGAACCAGTAGCAGTCGCTGGGCTCCCACTGGCTCATCTCGTTGGAGAAGCCCTCCTGGATAACGGGCAGCTCGTTCTGCACGAGACGGCGTCTCTTGCCCTCGTTATGCTTATGCTTCCGCCAGTGCATGTTGTCCGAGCAAGCATCCCCGCCAGCCGAGCCGACAGAGAAGTCGCTCCCCGACGACGAATGGCCGCGCTTGGGTCGCAACGCAGGCGTGTTCTGGACAGGGATGCGAGACGGCCCAACAGGCGTTGTGCCATCAAGGTTGGCGGACACATCCCGTCTCCAGTTCTCGATGGAGATCTCGGGATGAGCAGGATTGTACGCCACCGAGGACGGCCGCTCAAAGTCGTCGTACCCGTCCTTCAAGCTGAATTCGAAACTCCCCTGGCCAGTGCCCTGGCTGAACGAGTCCATGTCCTTCATCGCAGGGGCGCCGGGACCGTCTTGGGTACAAACTGACATCGCCCTGACGTTCCCGGCGGCGTTATCGCTCACGGGTTGGTCACTGAGTGAAGAGATCAGAATAATTATGCAGGGCTGCTAGCAGACGTACGCACCTTGGTATAACAGGCTCTGCGAGAAAGGGGGTGGAAGGCAGAGACCAGGACTCGGATGTGGGCGTGTCATTCAGATCTTCGAACCCAACCGGCACTCGCCTAATATATGATGATAACAGTGATATCAGCAATGACAGGCGAGACCGAGCGCACGTGGAAGCTATCGTACCTGGGCGTCTTGGGTGTCTGCGCGAAAGGCGGGGGAAACGGCATGTGGTCTAGAGGCTCTAACCCGTCCACTCTCCCCTGCAGGCTGTACGGTTTAAGCTGCATCGCGGTGGTGGTCTAGTACTGAAGTAAAGAGAAATAAAGCAGTCATTGAGACACTTTGGGACCCTGAGAAGTGTAATGGAGAGTCACTGGAAGCAAGCAAGCACAGCGAAAGAGACAGCAGTGGTGCGACAACGAAATAAATCCTATTGCGATAGCAAGTGGTATTGGTATATAGGCGCGGGCGCGTACGAGCACAACGGCAGGGAGGCTAAGCAAGACACGGCCAGTTGGTAGGAGCACAGCCCTAGATGAAGCCAGGAGACGAGCAGCAAGGCGCGTGCCCTGCAGGGGAGGCAAGGGCCAGGGACGTCTACGACATGCAGGTGGAGGGTACGGGGAAGGTTGTTAGTCGCTCTGCTCAAGACGCGTCCCTATATAAGGAGCTCACGCACGAGCGTCTATTCACGCTGCGTAGATATACTTAGGGCCGTAGGCTGATGGCGGGCAATGCCGGCCTGGTACCGGTCGTACCGCCACTGACTCATTTCGCGAACTTCTCTGGCAGGTTAGTATAGGCAGACGTGGATGGCGGGCGTGGATGCCCTCTGGCAGAAAGGCCCTACGTCGTATGGCGATCATGCACGCATAGCAGAAGGAAAGGGAGATCAGAGAGAGCTCACATTTCATATCCAATGGGCATCAGCTACGTGGCTCGACGTCCGGGGGACGTTGTCACATTCGCTGGTAACAGCTAGAAGATGGTCGAATCCCCTGGAAGTGTTGCCACGGCGGCCACGGCGCTCTGAGGACAACCTCGCAGCAGATCCGGCGGCAAGAGTCATGTTCACGGGGACATCAACAGCCCGAAAGCCAGGAGAGAATGATGAGATTCAATATAACCGTCATACGAACGAAGCGGCCCGCTTGTATCGCATAGTCCACACTCTTGTCTACCAATAAACAAATCACGTCGTCTGTGCTCCAACCGCCTGCAACAAACATGTCAGCACGCGCCCCGGCACACCCATGGAGAAACACAACGCACCAAACGTTTTAGATGTTCCATGAATACTTGCAAACTGACATCGTCCGTGAAAATGGCCTGCCCCGCGCCCGCGCCAGGTCCAGAACCGTACATACTCGACGTCATATGTGTCGTCGACGGGTTCAGTTTGGACAGCAGGAACCGGGCCTGACTGCCACCCTGGTCGCAGACGATGTACCGCGGAATCGGGAAGCGATCCGCTAGCAATTCCTAGGGAGGCAGTGGTAAGCACGATGGGACACATCAAACCCTGCTAGAGCATTATACCTGAGCATCCACTACTGGCGCTTCTAGCAGCTCCTTGAAGTTCTCGTAGCCCTCCTGGTCTTGATACCCAGCCTTGCGCCACTGCGCGATCATCTCGCCGTGGAAAATCAGAATGTGGAAGAAAGTATCAAGTAAGAGGATGACGTCCGGCTTGATGGACACGCTATCAAGCAGTACAGGTTGCGGCGGCACGTCAAACGTGTAAGACATAAGCGTGGGCTGGATCATGATCAGGGAGTTGTTGACGTCCTCCTCGTTGAGAATATGTCTGTCAAGGTCAGAGGTTACATTCCCATGTAACACGAACAAAAAACCGAGCGCACCTGTAGAAAGCAGTCTCATCCGGACTGTTGTTGAACACCTGCAAGAACTGGCTTCTCCGCAAGTGGAACATGAACTGCGGGTAGATACTGAAATTGTCCGTCAGTCGGAAACTCGTCGGGTCCTCCTTCCTGTAATCCGCGAACTTCTGGCACAGCCGTATAAGCATACGGTCGAGCCACCTCAGCACGTCGGGCGAGTCGTCCATCTCCGCCCTAAAGACAGCAATACGCGCCATCAGGACCGCCGCCGCCTCCTGGTCGAACGAAGCCGCGATACTCGGCGAACCAGCTTCCGCAAAGTTACGCGCGATGGTCGTGACCCGCAGTCGGTACTGCCCGGAGGAGTGCTGGTAGTGCGTGACGAACTGGATGAGGCCGCGAGAACCAGGCTGGAGGGGCTGGCCTGCCGGGGTGACAACTTCGAAGTAGACCGCTTCGGCGGTGCGCGGCGTGATGGAGTTGATTTTCCAGGCTGATGTCTGGCCGATACCTATCTCGGTCTCGCCGACGCATGCCGATTTCTTCGCAGCAGAGATCGCATGACCAATCAGTCCGGACACCTTGAGCTCTTTCGTAGTCTACGGGCGATATAAGCAAACCGAGCGGACGCAGGTACCTAATATGACTGACCTGAACATCGAACGTCGCGTTAAAACCCATGAGCAGCTGCCCTTGATCGTCCTTGTTGAACATCCGCAGGAAACTCTGCTTGAAAATAGACGTCGCGAACGAATCCGAAAGGACGATCACACCGTTTGTGGAATTGGGCAGTGACTTCATCTCAAGCAGACCGACTTGATCAAGACAGCCGGCGAACAAGTCCACGCAGTGGCCGTTGTTCGAAACCCGCTTGGCGAGGCCTTCGTAGAACTACGGAAATGTGAGCTATATGTCAAGCGACATCATACTTCCATCGCCCCACCTTCATGGCCCGCTTGTAATGCTTAGCACTATCTCTGTCGATGTCGTGGTGAGAGCGGATCGGCTCCTTCAGCTCGTTGCTGACCACCATTCCCGGTCCCTCCGTGCAGGGTCCACCAGAGAAGAGCATAACGCGAGCACCGGTATTTGGGAAGGTCGTCTGGGTTCATGTACATTAGGCACGCCAGTATTCTGGGATGATCCAACTGACCTCAAGCAACCCGACTGCCACACTGAGAGCAACCCCCGTACAACGCAGTGGCCGCTTGTCATTTGCGACAGGCCAAGGGTCCCGAGCCAAGGCCTCCAGAATCCCAGTGAGCTGGAATTCGCACTGGGAGACGGGCAGCAAGAACCTCGCTGCGCCAAATGTCTGGGGCATAGGCTGCCCAGGACGGGGAGCGGCACGGTTGGTCGAGCTCAAGCCGAGCATGTCCTGGATTTGCTTCGGCGTGTATTCCTTTCCTCCGCGGAATACATAGGACTTCGTGCACTCCGCGTACCCGAGCTCGTGGACTTGGGTCTGCAGACGGGCGGCGGTGAGGTCTCGAATGGTTGAGCGCGCACATACGCAGCATACATACCATGGTGCCGAATGTGATCAAACCGACCAGGGCGTAAGGCGGAATCAAGCTCAGACTGACAACGATAGCATCACGCAGCGCTTTCAAGTCATCTTCGTCTAGGCATGTGTCCACGACGAACAGGAAGATAGGAGGGACCTGGGCAGGGCGGGAGAGCGTATATTCAATCGTGGTGTATTTTGGTAGGAGTTCGGCAGGAAGGTTGGTGCTGGAAATGTCTTTGTAATGTGGGGGGAACGCATTGCGCTGGAGGCAGAACGGACAGATCCAGAGTTTTCCTCGTATGTCAATCTGACTGAGCAGGTCGTCAGCATCGGAGTGAATGCAGTCTCAGTGTATACACTTTCGTCCGACAGCACTTGCATACTTAGAGACCATGTAACACGTACCAGTACGGATTCAGAATTGCGCGACACGGGGGTTTGCATGTCACCGGCTCATACAAGACAGGTGGTAGGTCTTCCCTGATCTTCAAGGGCGTATATAGCGCTGATATCGGCACAACTGTTCTCGTGGCTTCGATCCTTGAAGACGGCCATACGTTCCAAGACAAACGGACGCCTAAGAAATCAGGGCTTCGAAACAGCCGAACTGGACTGCAATACTGGCACTAACCATCCCGGTCCTCAACGTCTTCGAAGTTCAGCATTCTGAAGTTTACGTGGACCTGCCGGGTGACCTCCTTAAACGATTTCTCCTCCGTCAACGGCGGTGACGAGGACAAGCAACAATCTGAGCAAAGGCGAAAGGACTTCCACGTCGTGCTCGAGTGTAAAGCGGTGACATTGCATCACGTGTCACACGTTAACTGACCGTCGCGGTCGTGCAGTCCGTCCGTTCTGCGACATCCTCTGCTTGCGTTCGTTTACACATGATATGTTGCAGACGAGGGATGATGAACCTTCTATGTCTCTTGCTGCAGAAGAGCACGCAGAATCGCTCACTCCGCGTTGTAGAGTCGCAGAAATGAACGAGCAAGTCGGCTTCAACTTTAGGAAAGCGGTACGCACGAGTCTCGAAGTCTCTTCCTCACTTCGATTCGAAGGCGAACAAAAATGAGCGTCGGCAGTATCGACTCTTCTTTCCATGCATCATCGTATCCTCAGGTCAGCGTACGCACGGTAGAGGGACAGGGAGGGCGGAAGGATCGAGGGTTATTTGCAGCCAGCGCTTTCGAGGTACGTTACGATATCATTTCTGAGCTCTTTGTACTTCCCTACAACATCCGCTGGAGCGTGCACCATCTCGGCGAATATCTTTACTGCTCAGTGTTCTGCTCGTTAACTTATTATCTTACCTCAATGATCACAGGCAGGACAGCTAATTCTCAAAGAAAGCCCGATCCTCCATACGTCCCACCCCATTGCACGGGCCTTCATTCCTACGGCAGACCTAGATATCCCCCATGACTGGCAGCGGCTTCTGTTTCTCTATGCAACTCATAGGAGAAGCAACCAATTATCTCAGGTTCTTGATGGAATAATAGTCGATCTGTCTATGGACGGCGTCTGCTCAGACCTGGCTAGGGAGGCCGACCCGGACAGGGAGTCTGAATTCCAGGAATGGGCTCAGGAATGGATTAGCTGGTACCATCAGCAAGGCGGTAGTGACGGTACTTCATGGCAGCCGACTGCTGAAGAAATTTTTCGTCTGATCGCTATCCTCGAAACCAACAGCCATTCTCGGGACGAAGACGACATGCGTGATCTGCTGGATCCTCGAACGGGTGTTGTCCCGACGAATACATCGGACACCATGGACATGGCTATGACAATGTCGGCAAGTACTGACGAACACGAGGATGACGAAACGAAAGACGAAGCCTGCGGTCTCTGGATAATGGCTTCCATGCTCAACCACAGCTGTCTGCCGAACTGCACGGTTTTCATTCCGCCAACGAAGCGGACCGGCGACGAGGCCGCGTTGTACCTGCGCTGTATCCGCCCTGTCTCCGCCGGCGAGGAGCTCCTGATAAATTATCACGATGAAGAGTATCTACCTACGCTCGACCGTCAAGACATCCTGCGCTCTCGCGGCTTTGACTGCCAGTGCCCTCTATGCTCAGGTCGAGTCAGAGAGTACATGAGGTCAGCGGCGTGCTCGAATCTGGGATGCATAGGCGGCCAGGGTGTGTGCTGCCCAGTCAGGGCAAACGGGGAAATACGCTGGATCTGTGACCACTGCGGTGGAGCATTAGACGCCCTTGCGATCTCCGCGGTGGAGGCCAAGGAACAAGAATGGATGGGTCAATGGGAGCAAATTCTGGCTATGACTATCGGAGACATCCCCGCCGAGCAATGCACCCACCTTTTGGCATACCAGGTCCTCCAGCAACTTTCGAGGTCATGGGCCGTGTCCTTACCTGCCAACGGCGGGTCTATAACACCGCCCTTTTTGCCCTTCCTCTCACCCCTGCACGTCACCCATTCTCACGTGTACTCGTTCCTGAAGTACATCCTCTTCGAGCAGAGCTTCTGGCTGCGGCAGCAGTTTGGAGATGACGGGGTCCACGCTGTGCTCCTATGCATGCTCGCTGTTATCGAGCGGGCCCTGAGCAGCCTCGGAGATGGCGGACTGAGCCTCAACGTCAGTGAGGAGCGCAGGGTTCTTGGATACTGGCTTGTCAAGGAGGCGCAGCGACGGCTTGAGCAAGCGGAGTTCCGAGGGGAGGAAGAAGTGAATAGGTGGCGGGCTCTACAGGACCAGGGTCTGCTGAGATGGGAGGTGGGCATGCAGTACCTATGCTCCCGCGATTAAACAAGTCTACAAGCCGGAAGTATTATAATACCAATACATCCATCGTCCTGGCTAGGCGTGTCCTTGGTAGATATGCACGCCGACAGTAGTAACCCCACCGACCTACTTGCCTTGCGATTGGGGATTCATCGAGACCCTAATTCATCTGACCCCGTGAATACGAATTACAAACTATTACTTCCTTGTTGGACCTCGGAATGCGGAAAGCAACCCACTCTGTCTACAAGGCCATGGCTTTGCGGGATATTTTGATAGTGACAGTGATCGTGTCCCAACTGCCAGAAGCCTTCTCGCCATCAGTGTCTCCGACCCTGTCCTTCTCGCGTTCGCTGGCAGGAACGGGCGTGAAATCCTCGCTTTGCTCAATGATGCCCATCTCCGCGTACCGCTCTGACAAAAAGACCTTTAGGAAACCAGTGTCTTCGTCCTCTCCAGGTGCCAAGTAAAAATAAAAGGGGCTGACAGCACTTTCGTCAGACCCTATAGTGAAGGACGAATTCCTCCTGAGAGGAGAGGAACCTGCATTCGGCGTGGGCGCCTTATAGATCTCGTGCACGGAATGGTTACTGGGATCAAAATAATATGCAGCGGGGTAGAGGTCCACATCCGTCTTGTTTGTCAACTGCAGAACGTATTCTGCCTGTGCAAGTGGATCGTCCTCGAGGCGTGCAATTCCAGCCGGTGCAAGATTCCGTCGGGAGTGATCCCTGAGCTTGTACAGGTTAGCCGTCACCTGGTTCCGATACGGGTGGTCGGGGTTCTCATGGTGCAGGTAGAGGTCGAACCTTGCAGCCCAGCTTATCCTCTGCAAGTCGTACACGCCGTGGTCTCCAGGGTCGTAATTAATGGCGACCGTCGTCGCATGATCCTGCCTAATTTTCTCGATGAGAGGTGACTTCAGCCGAAGTTCCATTCTGTCCTTGTGGACTGTCGCGACCAGCCTAGCATGGGCAGGATCTGCATGCACAAGGTGTAAATCGATACCGCGGCGATTCGTTTCGGTAAGCATGTGCAGTCCAGCCTCCACGGCCATCTGACGACTCGAGGAAGCCTCAGACTGGAAGCCTACAGGATATATGGGGTCGACCAGGTAAGAGATCTTGGCGTAATATACATGATCGTCGAAGTCTACGAGAGATGTTCCCTGCTTGCTCCGGATGTCGACATAGGTGGACACTGCTTCCACTTGGGTCGCGGTTGCCTCTCCCAGGTAATCCAACGAAAACCGGTCATCTCTCTGAATTACGAAACGGGTATCGGGAGTGACTCCTTGGATCGCGCCGGCCTTGATTTGGTAACGCCCATCCCTTTTCTTCTTCAGGCGGACCAGCCGCTTGTCCACCCCAAGAGCCTTCCCCCCAAACAGCAGGGCATCTTTGCGCTTCCCTTCACATTGCGGAGTCTGTGTCAGCCATACCTGTGTTTCTCTTCCAGTTTCGTCTTTCTGAAGGTACTCAAATTTGAGTCTTTGAATCTTGTTCATCAGCGACGAATAGGACATTGAGGGAAGTGTAGGGTCCTTGAGAAGGACTGATAATTTATTCGTGAACCAACCGCTGTCTCCGTCTTCATATGCCTGCTCGCTCGATCTGCAGGCAGCTAGGAGTACGTGGCTGTGGAGAATGCTCGGCTTGGTCTTTACCGATCGGTGATGGTCCGCTTGAGCAGCAGCAGTGGGTCCAGGACGCGTGTGTCGCAGAGGTGGCAGGAAGCGTGCTCTCAAATTTGCACTTAAGCTCGGAGTGCTCCTTGTGCCACTACCTGAATGACAACAATCCATAATAACCGTGATGTTATCTCCCTTTTCGTTCCATAACTCCATGAGAAGATCCCCAAGCTCCCAGTCTTCAATGTCCCAGACGACATCCGCTCTGCGATCCGCAGGGCAGATTGCTTCATGCATGTGTTCCTCCCGGCCTCCAGTATCCGCATAATTGTTATTCGCGTCTTCATCCTGGAATTCATCATCGTATTGGTCGAAATCGAGATACCGTGTCCCATGTCCTGCAAAGTAGAAAAGTATAGGATCATCCTTCTTGATCCGCTCATTTTCAATCAGATGAGTGCGGAAGGAGCTGAGAATTCCTTCTCGTGTGGCTTGTTTATCGTAGAGGGTTGCGATGTTTGCCTCTGGAACGTGCAGGCTTTTCACGAGGAAGTTGCGGATATTCTTGGCGTCAGGCTCCGCGCAATGGAGATTGGCCACCTCAGGCAGTTCACCATCCCCGGCCAAGTCTGTACCACTGTAGTCGTTGATTCCGACGACAAGTGCGAAAATCGAGTTTGCATCCGACATGATCTTGGAATGGACGAAAATGAACGGGCCAATAAATCAAAGACGAATAATGCTCACCGGCGGTGATACTTTATTGTATGGGAATACAGTAGTACGGTGGGGGTCTGACGGCTTTATATACCCCGGCGCTAGATGCTCGAAGAAAGATTTAGCTCCGCGAAGAAGTGCCTGAACGTTACTGAGCTTGACTCGGAGGCGTATCGAGACTCTCTGTAACGAGCGTCTGTATGCTCTGAAGCTTGCAGTCGACGCTTCGAGACAGTTCAACGTACCCTGGCGTACGGGCCCTTATCGTCACGATGTCCAGCTGCGCTTGATCTGACCATCGCGTGCTGGCCCTGCTTGACTAGGTGGCCATCGATTAGCGTAAACAATTAAGACTGATCAGAATAAATAACCCGCCACGGACTTAGTGCTGTCAAGTTCCTTAATATTGTCTCTCAGCCGACGCTGTACATGTATGTTGCACATAGTTTCCATGCAGTGGATGCCAGTGCTGCATGACATGAAGACGAATGGACAACTTACATGTACATCAGTGGAATCTAAGATACATTTGCGACGCTGTAAACAGGCACGGTAACACATGATCGTGCGTCCAAGCTCCCACCTCATTATACTGTACACAGATTAATCAGAAGACCAATACATCTATCCCTTCCAAGTGATGTTCATTATCGCGCTGCCAAGGGACGTGAGCAACCCAGCGAGCCTCCCTACATAGCATTGCACTACGCACCTGACAGAGGACAATCTTACTATCATCGATCATAACATTCGAGCACGAGTACGCTTCCTGGCTCGTCACCTCCCTGTACGGCAGGTACGTCGATATCTCCTCCGGGAACTCATCCACCTTGACAACAGTAGGTGCAGTTACATTTTTCATACGGTCCGCATCCTTCTCGTCGATATCGACTCTGATAAGTCTCGGGTTAAAGTCGCGGATGACCAGTCGGAACCTATCCGTCTCCCCCTCCCCACCCGCGGTCTTGTCCACAATGCGATATCCATGGATGGAATGTATCCATGGCGCCTCGTACTGGTGGATAAACCATCGCGTATTCTCGGGACCCCAGTCTTCCCAGTCTGTCTTGCTCAAAGGCACAGACTCGAAGAAGACCCGCGTCCGCATGATCAGAGTGTGGCTGCTCGTCCGCTGGTTTGTCTGATTGAAGAGATTGAACGTACACAGCAACACTCGGTCCTCGTCGGCACATTGGAAGAGCGCGGGTGCATGCAGAAGGCCTGACTTATCCTGTTTAAGAGGAGCCACGTCGGTAACAGGGTTGAAGCTCAATATGATGCCCCAGTATTCCCAGCCGTCACTGGGCCGCGGGAGACCGAACCTTGCCCGACGGACCGGTGGAAGCACCGAAGCTCCCCGATTGTAAAGGGCTGGGTCAGTGAACGTGTAGAAGCCCAGGCAACCGTTAAAATCGACCGTAAGGAATGAAGTCCGAGAAAGAAGGCAAAAGTCGTCAACGTGTGCAGCCATGTCATTCTCCATTGTGACCTAGTAATGACGTGAAGGATTCAGAAACAATTAGCACAGAAGAGAATACTTGGAGACGTACAATGTAATCACAATCAGACCGCCAGTTGAAGAGCGAGAGCCGGACCGTTGTGGCGCCGTCGTCTGCTAAGATGGCAACAATGTCATCCACGATATGAATCCTAACGTGGTGGAATGTCTGTTCGATGGGCGGGCCAGTCCTATCGATCCAGGCCCGATTGGGTAGAGGTGCGTTCGGATGAGGCTCGTTTGTCGTAAGACTTCTCATGTGGACAATGTATTTGTGGTCTCGACTACGACTCACCTCAGTGCGTCTTCACGAAAGATCAGGGGAAAACCTACTTAATCGGTGCTGAAGAGACCATCACTAGAAGGTCCTGCGTTGGATCCATGCAGAAATCAAGGAACTGACCACCCTCATCGATCAGCTGCATATGCGTCCACGTTTTGAGAGGAGAAAACGGGTCATCCGTTGCAGTCGGCAGACGATGAAACTTGAGAGGCCCGGAGACAGGAGGGTGACTGCCGTGTCCATTTGCGTAGATGCCGCCAGCAAAATCGTACACGCAACCATTCTCTGTCATATTGATGCTGTACTTGTTTAGTGGCTTCAATCGCGTCCATCTCTCAGAGTATTCTTTAAGCCTCGTCAGGCGATGATGGTACGGAATGTCAGAGGATGATGGGGCCTGAGCCATTCCATGAAGCGCAAGCTCCGTAATATATCTCAGGTGAGAGGACGACAGGTATATGTCTCTGACGAATCTGTTGATCTACAGGAATCGTCAGTCCACAGATGAATCCCGCGTTATTTGGTGGCTAACCTGGCTACATCGCGCCAGATCTCTCGGAGGCAGGAAGGCAAGGATGCGACAGATAAGCTCGACAGGTAGGCTGAAGAGTTTCGGTCTCGAAGGAAATATCTTCCCGACATGTCTAGCATTCACTGCGGATTTGACGACGGTAGGAACGAGAGGGTCGTGCATCTTGACTAGTACTACAGTGTTATGGGAGGTAATCAGCTGCAGCAAGCAAGTTTATATACAGAGGCTGAAGGGGAAGCCGAGGTGCATGCTTTGGCCAGCAGCGCTGACTGCGTCGAAACCGTGAAAGGAGGAGAACAAGGTGTGGCCGTGATATAACAATACTTACGCGTATGTGCGCAGGATTTGAGGCATTAGCGGCCGCCTTCCCACGGTAACAAGTATAATGACCGTGTAAGACATTTGTTACCGTGGGAATTGGACACGTCCCTACTATCTGTACGGAACGTACGTGCATGTCCTTCGAATGCAGTAGTGGCAACATCTTTCCGGTTTCACGGACGCCAGACGACGGAGATACGAACATAGGTGCTTTGACAATCCGCGGGGTTCTCTGGGATGTCGAGCCCAAGTCCTACGAAAGGCCTGATTTCTCCCCTGCTCAGCCCGCAGCCGTCCACTCCCCGAGGATCGCTAGAAGGGGACCGCTCGAACGCGCCACCTAGCAATACCAACGCCGTTAATGGTCATAGCTATGGCGAGGACGAAGACTCTGACCCCGTACAAAGGCTACGGGATGAGCTGGAGCGGACGAAGGAAGAGAAGGAAGCTCTGGCCGCTCAATACAGGAACCTTCTGGGCAAGCTCACTACAATGCGGACAACGCTGCAGAACAAACTGAAGCAAGACGCCGTGAGTCCAGACTATATATGAGGGAGGCGGACGGGTCTGAAACTCCTTAGGAAGAGCTCGAAAGGCGGGAGCAGCTCGTTCAGCAGTTAACGGCGGAGAACGAGGACTTGGTCTCCACGGTAGAGACCCTCAAGTCCGAACTCCTCACTTCCAATGAGGAGGCCGAGAAGGCTTCCAGGGAGCTGGAGGCCATGCGCAGTCGAGCGCTGCAGGAGACTGCCCAAGAGACCATCGTCCGAGAGCGAGAGCTACGTGAACTACAGAGCGAGCTCGAGCGATGTCGGATAGAGAAGGATGAATGGGAGCACGCTGCCCTACATGAGCGAACATTCGCTGATGAAGCTAGGGCTACCATAGAGACTCTGCAGAGAGACCTGGAGATTGAACGGGAGGCGCGTGAAAGGGAGGCAGCCCAACTTGAGTCGGAACGCGAGAAAGCCAACAATCTACAGTCCGTACTCGAAGACTTCCAGACAGGTAAGATTGAATATGACTTCCAACTGAACATATAACAACAGTTCTCTATCGTAGCGAAAGAACATGAACTGAAGCAAGCTGTCAAGGAGCACGAAGACCAATTCAATCAGTTAACTCAGTCTTTGGCTGAATATAAGCACAGAGCATTGACAGCGGAGGTACGCCACTCTTGTGAGCTTTGTAGTGTTTGCACCGAACTCTCTGCAGCTACAACTGGAAGAATCAACATCCAACTCTTCTCGAATACAAAATCTCGAGAAAGAAGTGAAAGAGAAAGAGCTTCTCATCCAGAAGTTACGCCATGAAGGTATAGTCACATACCATCTCCTTACTCTAGTCGTCATGAACCCGTGATCACAGCAATTATAATGAATGAACACCTAATGGAGGCCTTAAGGCGTCTCCGACGTCAGTCATCTGCGGACAATGTCGATCGGCGGCTCGTCACCAACGTCCTCCTCTCCTTCCTGGTTACGCCACGCGCAGACAGCAAACGGTTCGAAATGCTGCAACTTCTAGCTTCAATACTGCAGTGGAGTGACGCGGAACGTGAAAAGGCGGGTCTTCAGCGGACGGGACAGAATGCGAATACCGGTTCCTCGATATGGAGTCGTTCCGCAAGTTCGACATCGTTATCCGCAACGAAGTCACCAGAGTTGGAGAAGAGCGACGAGACAGAGGTAGAGCGAAGTCCTTTCCAAGGCAATTAATTGAACACTGACTGACAGCGTTCGCACAGTCATTTTCCCGGTTATGGGTGGAGTTCCTCCTCACTGAAGCCAATGCCGGCCAAAACGACTCCGCGATATCTCCACCACCGGACTCGCAGAAGCGGGGGAACAATTCTCTGCCCGGATCGCCGACTCGTTTGCATCATCTCTCGCCTGGGTCGCCATTGTCACCTCGTCGTCTCGCCTCTTTCTCATCAGCATCAGCCATGGCGAGTTCGCCCAACCTGTCTTTGCCGCCTTCACGAAAAGGGAAAGAAAAGGAAGTCGTACTTTGACGTACGCATCGCGGCTCTATTTCCTCCCTCTATCGCTTTCAAACATCCCCACGGACTACTTAGTTGTATATTTATTTTATGTCTCTCTTACGGTTGCATCACTCGGGGCAGCTCTATCGAAACAAATGCTCCAAGCCCGGTCAACGTTGCGCTACAACAAGGAACGTATTAAAATGCTACTGTCGGGTACGAGATGGTCCGAGACGAAGATGTATGATATGCAGCGAGTGAGCAAGGAAGTAGTCAACATTAAGCATGGCGTAACCAGCCGACATCTAAACCAGTCATCGTGCGCATATCGACGGGGTATGAGTTGTTGCTCTCCTTAAGCAAGCCGGCCAGACGTCGGCAGATTTCCAATGGGTAAGAAAGGTTTTCTGCCTGGGGAAAACCAGGGAATTTGTCCAGAGTACTATGCCGGGTTATTGGGTAAATCGACTAAGGAGAGCAGACCGGCTTGAACGTACCTTCGCAGATCTTCAGGTGCGACGTGCGGCCCTATTATCTTGAACAGTACTTTAGCTGCACGAATAGAGTCGGACTGCGGTATTAAGTAAGTTGCGGGAGTATTGTAGGATATCCGTATACTGGGTTTGAACAACCAAATCTACGAGAGAGTTAGCACTCGCCATTCATAACCTAGGCCAGACTTACGAGGATCCGCGGTCGCTCGCTTTCTTCGTCTAGGACAACAAATCGATAGGTAGCGTGCGCTTGAACCAATTCCATCATGTCCTCGACGATGAATGCTGACAACGGTACTGGCGGCAGTCTGAAAAGAGTAGAGACTAGTCAAAGATGCGAACGCGTGGGAGCATCAAGGAACTCACTCTTTGGACGTGGACAGTGTTCGAATGGCATACTTCAGGAACCTATACGAATTCGTGGGAGGTTCATTTGGGTGGCAATGTGCTTGACAGCGTCCTTTCACTGCCCCACATAGACACCTAACAAGTCTCCAATCATCGTTCCCCTAGAGCCGAAACCGTCAGCTTCTATCCTATACTCGATGATCATTGAAGTGTGCTCTCGCATGTAGCTCCCGTGACGAGGACCTCTGTTACACGAGAGTTGTTTAAGCGAGTACACCAGCTTGCCGCTGTTATTCTCGGACAATTTGTATCAGCCAAAGACGATACGTCTGCCGGTGCCCTGTGCTGACAACTCATCCTCTGCCAAGTGCACCAAACCAACTCAGGGCTCGGAGACACCTAGCAAAGGTGGCTATCAGGCAAGACACGCGACCATTGGTAAGTGTCCCAATGCCGGCCTTCTTGCTGCCCTGGACAGTCTAACGTAGACGAACATGCTTACCTTAGTTTCGGACACGACAAGGTTGCCTTTGACCACGCTAGACTCGTCGAAGAGGATATAACTCCCTCCTACTAATGCCTGACCGGCTTTCGGCCAGATCCCCCGAGTATGGATCGCCACTTGGTCATGGACCTTCTGATCTGCATGGCACATCCAGGCCTCCACCAACTCAGCCCAATGCTCTGACGGTAAGTCCCTGTAGCTAACAACGCCCACCGCTTGAACAAGGGGCAACGAACAGGAAGAACAAGCGAAGCTCGATGGGCTGGCAGCAGATAACTGCCTTGCGTCCATCAGAGGCTCCGAGTCGAGCTCCGAAACTGGACCGGCACTCCGGGGATAACTGGGCAGCTTCACCTCAAAGTGACTCCCAGACGAGCGGACTTCCCTAATACCTGATACCACACGCACTGGAAGACTCAGCGGAGGCGATATCCCACCGTTGCCGGTGATAACAAGCCGTTCCCCGTCAGTATCTGAGGCTGAGGGGAGCACCTCAGCTTCGAGAGGTGTCCCAGGCATCACATCGCCAGCCGTGAAGAACACCAGGACGTGCTGCAGATTCTCATGGTGCTCCGCGACGTAGTCGACCGCGAGCACTGGTTGGATCAGTCCCGATCTCCGATAAAAAACATTTGAAACTGCCTCACCTGTATTTACCGACCTTCCGCTAGAAGAACCCGGCCGGCTAGACCGTCCTGACCGACTTCTCGAGCCACTTGTCTTGGGTCTCTTCATAGCTTTCGACTCCGGAGCAGTCGAAGAAGCACGCGAACTTGACGAGAGCAGCCACGACAGCGGCGGTGATGACAAACTGCGACTGCGGACGCTCTTCTGCGAGCGGAGACGCGCTATGGTGGGGCGCATCCCTGACTCATGCGTCGTACGTTCAGACACCTCACCCAGGGTGTTTAGGTCCGCCGGTACCGAGGGAAATCGGGGCATAGGTTCCCGGATGAACTCAGGCAATGAGAGCAGTGTCTCCGGGTCTCTTTCTTTGGGAGGATTAAGAACAGCGTCTTGACTGTGCAAGCGTCCAGCGTCCGAATGCTGCGCCAGTTGCTCTACGAAAGCCTCCCGCTGTAACACATACTTAAGCACAACACCAATCGAAGAATTGGCGGCTCACCTTTTCCTTGTCCTTCCGTTTCGCCTTCTCAAGCTTCTGCTCCATCCCTCCTTCAAGAACAACCGACTGATCAGCGATCCTGCGGCTGGATGCCTTACCGAGTAGCTCAAGCATGCCGTCCAGCTCCTGCAGGTCCCGTTCCTTCTCTTTCCCGGACGGCGGGCCCGCGAGCCGCGCGCGTTCGAGCTGCTCGACCTTGCTCTTCTTCAGTTCGACCCGCTGATTGTGCAGCTGCGGCGCCACGAGATATAACCGGTCGATAGCCATCGTAACCGCTTCCAGATCCATCTTCATCTTCTCACTGAGCCCGCTGCCCAGATTGGTAGCGGAAGACGTGGGCTCCTGAATGGTCTTAGAGTCTGACTTCAAGCTCGCTCTTTCAGCAAGAGAGCTCGATTCGGCATCGTACATGGGTAGGTGCTCCGATCCATACTCATATTCACCCGCATCGTACTCCGGTGGTAGAGAGTCGAGCATAGTGTCCTGGAATGCAAGCTCTGTCCGTCGCCTGCACAGCGATTGCACCGTCTCCAGCTCCTGATCGATCCTCGACCACAGCAAGCTCGTCTCCACCGCCAACACTGGCGGCAACTTAGATTCGATTCCGTCCGAAGAGTACAGACGCTCCACCTGGAGATCACTCACCTGCCTGCGCAGGGTGTCGAACGGGTCGAACGCGGGTGGGGGGTGGAGTGCACTCCCTGACGAGGAGGAGGATGGGCCAGCGGACGGAGACTGACTGGATATAATGGCTGAAAGGCGGTCGAAGTGTGCGAGGAGCGAGACGAGGGCATCCACGAGCTGTACATCGTGCAGGTCGAGGTTGGGCGTAAGCCGCCCTACGTGGGCCTTCAGCTCGCGGATCAGCTCCGCGCTGTCGTCGGTGTCGCGCGTCTGGACCATGGTGTCCGGTCCTTCATGGTTGCGCAAGTTCGATACGAGTGTCTGAAGAGCCGAGGACGACTGCGTAGACTCGACTTGCGTCGAGGTGGATGCATATGGGGACGGCGGAAGGGAATGGCGACGATCGGGGACGATGTCTTGCCAGTCCGTGTTCTTCGAGAGGAGGGTGTTTAGGGTCATAACGCATGACCTCTGTACATACGCTATGGAGGGTAGGACCTCCCGCTAGGGTCGATAGATGATGCCTGTTAATACCGCGGTAGCTTTGGACGATCGATACGACTTACCACATTCTCCTTGCCATCTGAGGCGACTGCATCGCGCCTCTCCTCAGGATGATAGTCCGCCCCTCTCGCGCCGACGCTGGCCTCGAACTCTGTCAGATCTTCCGCGATTTGATCGCAGGGCCGCGCAGCGCGCGTCCGTGCCCTCGGGAAAGGAGTCGGGACGCCAGCCCGCAACGCTGACGGCGAGAGCGCCGTCTCTCCCAAGTCCTCTTCGTCGCGGCCTCGCGTGAGCGTCGCCATGCCGAACTGTCGCTAGTTGGAGTCCGTGCAACCGTCACGCACGCCGACCTGCAGCCTGCAGGGAATCTATAAGGATCATGACGAGATGTCAGTTGATACAATGATAACGAAGGACATAATACGAGAATTACCAAGGCTACTTTTAGTCAGAAATTCAAACAGAGTCTTATGAGCGCTGCTGCATGCTACTGGTTTCCTCGAGGCTGCTCGAAAGCCTTGCATGGAATTCGCGTCTAATTAGCCGACGGCCACACGCCGGACAGCTTTCTGCTTCAACTCGACGAATATCGAGTTCGTCGCCAACATCGAGCTATCGCTCTAATATTCCTTCGATACATTCAGAGTCAAATACTCGAAGGAACACAATGGTAGGTACTATGGCTCCATAGACGCGGTACGAGCGATATACCACCCGTCTGGCCTCGACGATAATCGCACGCCGACAATCGCAAACTATAAATGAATCAAAATCGTGACATGTTTACAAGAAGTAAGTAGGACAGAAACTAAAGCAACAGACGGGAAGAGCTGCAAGTAATAGCTGTTCCACAAATCATCACAACCAAGTGCAGACCTAATTCCTCCTCTTGATCCCGACTCTGCACTCCACCGGTTTCCTCAAAAATCCTTCACGTGTTTCGAACTGCGGAAGGCAGACGTGAGAAGACCCATATTGGTAGATGAAAGACGAGTGAATATAGTACCTTCTTCTCCGGCTCTTCAAGCACGAAGTGGTACCGCCGAAAAATCGACGAAACGATAATCATCAGCTCCATACTAGCCAGGTTGCGCCCCACACACGCCCTGGTTAAACGTCAGACCCCCATATCCTCAACGCGATCAAGCGACCTACCTAGGGCCGTACGAGAATGGATTAAACGCCTTATTGATCTGCGCCTGGTCGATCTCAAACCACCGCTCCGGCCTAAACTCATCCACATCCGGCCCCCATACCTCCTCGTACCTATGAATCGTATAGGTCGGCACACTCATAATCGTGCCCTCGGGGAACGTCCTGCCCAGCACCGTCAGCCCGCCTTCCGGGACGACACGCGGCAGACCAATCCCCGATGTTGAGTGGACGCGCAGGGCCTCGTTGATCACCGCCTCAAGGTACTTGAGGCGCTTGACCTGCTCGAATGTCGACACGGGGTCGTCATCGTTGCCCAGTGCTTCGTCGAGCTCGGCTTGTAGTTTCTCTTGCACGCGCGGGTGTAGGGCCAGGTAGTATGTGATCGCGCATGACGAACTGCAAAACGCGTAAGACTCGAGTAGCGTTATAGAGATAAAACGACCGACTTTGACGTTGTATCCGAGCCAGCGATGAGTTGCGTGAGCGCCTCCGCCGTGAGTTCCTCCCTCCCCATCGGCTTCCCTTCGTCGTCCTTCCCCTCCTGGAGTTTGCTGAGCAGATCCACACGGTCAGTCGGGTTCCTCAGCCGCTTCGCAACGGCTGCCACCGCAAGCCCCGCGAGGTCCTTGACCGCCTTGTTCCCGTTACGGTACCACGGGTGCAGGCGCTGCACGACGGGGCGGAACCAAACCGGGAGGACGCCCATCGACGCCGAGTACTCGCCACGGTCGTTGAGGATCTGCACGGCGGGGAGCGAGCGCACTTGTACGGCAGAGTCGTCCTTGCCGTACGCAGCCATCGCGTCGGCGTGCGAGACGGCGACGGGTGCCGAGTCCTTGCAGGCTTTGAGCATGCCGAACGGGGATCCGAAGGCCAGGTCACCGATGATATCGAACGCGAGGTAGTTATACCCTTTAGAAGCATAAGCAAAGAGCGGTACGGACGATACCGGAGAACTTACAAGGCAAGCAGTCCAACCACAGTCGTCCCTCGCGGCCCTCCCACCCGTTTCCCTCCTCACCCCGCTCACCCTTGGCAGCCAAACCGCACAGGCGGTCCCACTGTTCGATGAACTGCCGCACATACAGGCGCACGTGCGGCTCGAACTCGAGCACGCTCTTCTGCGAGAAGATGTGCGAGACGATCTTGCGCTTGCGCGCGTGCTCGGCGCGGTCGCGCGTGTTGAAGAGCCCGCGCCTGATTGAGACGAACGCGTCGTAAAAGTCCGACTTGAGCGAGCCGTTCCCGTGCGCGTACACCGTCTGCAGCGCCTCCGGGTCCGCGATCGATAGGTGGTTCGGTGCGAGGCGAACGAATGTACCTGTCGATGAAGCGGGGGGTTACATAGAACGCCCGTAGTTAGTTATTGAATGACTTCGCCGGGGCAAAGTAGACAGACACAAAGGGAGCGGCGGACATCGGCTGGCCAGTCAACAACATGAGGTCGTCTTATCCCAATTGGAGTCAACCGGGAGTACTACGTGCGCCATGTTTACAGACAGCCGAGCACCGAGTCGCGACCGCATTCACGAGTACGAAGGTCGCGAGCATCGCTATACTGAATTCCCGCCTCCGAGCCTTCGCTGCACCTGAGGGGATTGAACAGGGAAGGCGCCTATGGTATTCCTTTATGAGAACGACCCGCCGCTCTCCCTCTTACGAGCTGGCCCAGTGGGGGTCCGACTGCCGGCTTGCCACATCTCGTTGCCACATCTCAGCCACCACGGGATTTGCCGCCGACGCCATACACCGGCTTCAGCCGGCGCGAACTCAAACCCCACAAATAGTGTCCAGCCTTGAGCTGCAGTTCCTCCATCGGACCCCTTAGCTTAGGCCTGAGCCTGAACCTGGAAGCGCGAAAGGAGGCAAAGCGCCTACGAAGTCTAATAGGAGTTGGCAACGCACCATACTTCTTGTGGAGGTCGTGCACAACTTCCGACCTGTGCCCCTGCGCGCTGACTTTACCCAGCCAGGCGTCCGAGAACTTTGCCAGCCAGGGGCCTGGGTAACTTTTTATCGCATGGGGGTCGGTGAAGTACGGCACTATGTGCGCAACCGCGACCACCGCAACCAGGAGGATCAGGATGTTCGAGACGTCGGCGTTGAGGATACCGGAAAGCATATTCAGAGCCATTTTGGGCGACGCAGTTGAATGAAAGATTAAGACGGCAGAGAACTGTTGCGCGTGAGTCTTATATACCCTCGCCAGCGCCTGCTGCGCCCACGGGAAGGGTCATGAGGCTCTCCGTATAGAATCGAATACCCAATTCGGCGGTATTCCCGGGGCTACGATTGGTTGCATCGTCTTCCGTCGGCAATCGGGAAATTGGATTTCAGTTTGGTTCCGGTTGGACGTCAGTTCTTCTGCTTTGCGGGCACAGTGCAAGTAACCTTTCTCCTTACAGGGCATTGGGCGTATATGGGGAGGGTGTATGAAATCCTAGTCTGAGACTGCTCCGGATCTACGGCCTGCGGCGCAACGCGTGACGTCCGATATGCGAGAGCGTGACCAGGAAGGTTCACCCGAGGAAGCTGAAGATGTTTCTTGTCCGTTCGCAGCGGGCTCAACTGTAAGTACATGAGTGTGTGTGTGCCAACTGACATTGCAGAACATTAGACCAGCTGAGATTCTACTGCTCGGGCACCTGCCAATCAAAACCGCCCCATGCAGTACGAGGGGAACACACTGTAACTGCTGCTCCACGTCTGTCGCGGCACATTGCAATTGAGTGCTAACGTCTCCAATAGCTCTGGAAGCAGCAATTGCTGGCTTTCTGAGCAAACATTTCACCATCTACAGTTCTGTTATGGTTGTTTGGTTGAGAGATACCCTGTAGGACAAGAATCTTTGGTGTGTCTATTGTTCTGCAATCAGCTGAAGTAACTGTTTACCTGCTCATGCCCAAGCTGAAAGCTAAAATTGACCAGTTTTGAGCAAGAACTGTCAACTTGAGGGTTGAGTTACTTCACAGTTCAGGAGTAGGAGTCTTTACAGCTGGGAAAAATATTGTATGAAGCAGGATTCCCTTTCATACAACCTTTTTGCCCTGGTCTACAGATCCTAGCCCCAAAATGTAACCTTAAGGGTGCATCGATACATCCCCAGGTTTCTCAAGTTTGCCTTTCATGGCAAGGTGCACCACCAAAAGGCTGGTGAATGTGATGTATCTCCCTTTGCATTTGAATGTGGTACACCTTGTGTTGAACTGGCCATTGACATGATTTAGCCATGACATCCCAGCGGGTGTGCCTGTTGTAAGCATCTAGCCAATTTCAAAGCATCTTCAGTCAGTCAGACTTGTCACTGAACATTATGTCCCTGGATATTGCTTAGTCTCATCCCCAGACCTTATAGGGAGTACAGAGACTCTCAGTTGGAGTGCCAAAAATATCATGCCTGTCCTCTATAAGAACTGATACATTTTTATTGTGAATTATTGCTGTCATCATAGGTCACAATCTGTCATGGTCCCAAGATCTTGTCTGTGCACCCATGTGTCTTGGATAGATGTCTCCCATACATATAAATGCAATTGGATGAGCTAGCATACATGCCATGTAACTATGCTGCAGGATGAATCCTTGCACAAGTAATTGGATGTGTATAACTTATCTCGAACCGGCAAGTTGAGTGGTTTTGGGCTGTTCACGTCAGCTTGTTGTCACTATGATGACAGCAATAGTTCACGATCAAAATGCACCACTCCATATAGAGAGGGTGTGCATGAGATTATTGACACTCCAACCGGGACTCTATCAAGTCTGGGGGTTGGATTGTCGAAATCTAGCTCCTCCGGGGGCAGGTGCTAGTTGTCTATCACTCTATGCCTTCCTGGATCACATGATACAGATAAATGGTATTGTGCACGTGACCCAATGTGATTAGAAGCACACATCTGATTGGCCGCTAGCCCTCATTAGCACGCTCGGTGCCTTTGCGGGCAGCGCGGCTGCGTCCCAGTTGGCACTGGACACTTGCAAGGCCATGCCAGTGCTCCTGTCCTAAATGCCATGTCGCAGAGCCCCACCTCACCTTCTCCCACCATTACAAGCCCCGGCAGCGGCAGCACCAGTACCAATAATGACTTCTTTGGCGGGCCCGCCTCCCCGCCAGTCATTCTCGCCATCCTCGCAATTGGGATGTTCGGGATCGCCGCGATGGCAGTCGTCGGGTGGAGGAGGACGCATGTAGGGAGGAACCTTGTTCTCAGCCCGTTTGGGCTGGAGCTGCTTGGGTTGGAGGCAGCGGAATTCCAGATGAAGGAGCAGAAAGTCGTAGGGGAGAAGCCGGAGCTTTGGGATATGTGGCTCGCTGGGGCTCCGTCTGAGTCATATGGCAAAGGTCATGGGCTGTCGGAAACTAAGGTGCGGTGTCTCGCTTTGTCCTTGCTGATGAGCAGGCAATGCTTACATACATGCTTTCAGCCCATCGCAGCTTGTGCGGTCAACTCGTCTGAGCCGAACCACCGACATCTCGCTGATGCTCCCCGCAATTTTATGAATTTCCATCTCCCCGACAGGAGGCAAGTGGCCACAGATCGGGAAACATCCCCGAGCCCTGCGGATCTCCAGCTAGGCACTCCTGTACAGGTTGCATTCGCAATCGTCATGCCTTCTCCACATCGGAATGATAAAGCAACAAACCATACTCTTGAGTATTCTATCGGACTACTGCACACCAAGGTCGGCGCGGATTCGAACCCGGGCTGATGTCCACGACTTGCGACGAGACGCTTCAGTATGGGGTAACATGTATTACTAGTTTCACGATCTTTCGGGTATGTACAATAGTTGTTTATGGTGTAAGTATATATGATGCTCTAAAGAATCCAGAGGACAGCGGGTTACGAGGAGACACTTTAGAGCGCCGGCATGTAGCCTGATAAAATGATGACAGGTTAGATGATATCCACGACTCGCAGCCCAGTTTGCTACAGGGTGCACAATCAATCCAACCATCTTCCAGGTATGTACAGTTAGACTTCGCAGTGTAGTATAGAACTAATGTTACTAAGAGTCTAGCATGAAACAGATTGTGGCAAAATACTGTACGATGTCCTATACGATGTAGGTCTTTAGGTCCGTCCATGACACACATTATCATCCCGGTCCATGATCTACAGCAGATTTGAGCGTCAAGTAGCCTCAAATGAGAAGACCACGGACCTCTGGTATCTTGTCCCGCGAGAACAGGAAGGTAGGGCGAACGCAACTTGGGTATATTCTTGCTAGGATCACAGCGCCCCTCAATCGGACTGGCGCGTATGATACCCAGGTTGGTATAATAACCGTGCAAACCTTGCATAGCTCACTGGCCGGAAAAGCACAAGCTCAGCGCTGGCGAGCGAGGGTCATGGTCCACATATAGGGCGCATCCCAAGACCGGGACAGCCCTGCAAAGCGGGTATGGCGCTGCAAACAATCTATCCGCCTCACCCCGCGCGAGCGCTCATAGTACGCGTCCGGCGAATGGCTCCAGCGCTGGTTGAACGCCGCGCCGACGCCCTCGCGCTGCTTGCGCGACAGCCGCTGCCACTCGGCCCGGGTGACGGGCGTGCGCAGGGCATGCGCGATCGCGAGCAGGACGTCGAGGACGCACACGCCGCGCGGGTTCGCGACGTAGATGCGCCAGCTCGCGGGGAAGGGGAAGACGTTGCATTTGATGGTCATGGAGTACACGGGCGGGCGCGTGGCGAACTCTGCGAGGCGGGCGTAGGAGAGGGGCTGGTACGAGCGGTAGTGCCGCACGCTGCCGTGGTGCGGGTCGGACCGCACGTCCCAGAGGATGCGGCACCCGCTGCGGCGGAAATGTGAGTAGCGAAGGAGGGAGTGGAGAGTTACGAAAGGCATTGTGGTAAAGCGGTGACTGTAATTGCGGGTGTGAGATGGCGGGTTCCCTGTATTTTATACCCGCGACAGTAGCTGTTGCAGTACAGCACTCTGTCTTCCGGAACCGCGTCGGCGCAATAGCGTCCTTACAGTTGACTATCCAAGAGCCACAGAGCAGAGCATTCTGGACTGACCAAGTCATATGAAGCACTTGACTTGAGGAAATGCCCTTTCGGGATCCTCGTTATATGATGACGGGTGCGCGGGGACGGACCCTCAAGGAAACATACGGGAGTTGTAGGTCCGTATATTCGGTTTCGCGGCGATGCAAGTGAGTCAACGCCTCGGGAGGGGCACTCCCGGTGAAACGCTGCTCAAGATAGCACATAATTAGCACCTGCTGTACAGGAGGCGCCCATGCCCGAATCCGCAGGCCGACGGTGGACATTGTCCGGTGCACTGCCGCGGAAGAGTCCCGGAACGCATAGCTGAGACCGATGGTCATTGGACTCACCAAGCAGATGGACGCCGTGTCGAATTGTCCCCTGCCAGACCTGTGTGTCTGCTTGGACCTCCTCGGCCAGTTGTCGTGTCCTTCGTAAGATTCTGGTATTGTGCGACCCACATATTGTTCCCGGTAGGCCCCAGGGATGGCCTTGCACGGCGCAGACGAATCACTTACTCGTGCCCCGGAAGCTGGGTCGACGCGCTAGCACTGTATGCATACCTGAGTTGGCGTCGTACGGGAGACCGATCAGACAAGTTCAGCCAGAGGCTAATTGGATCCAAGACATGCTCTGAAGGAAGCTATATGAATACTTGGAATGTCATCCCGCGAACTTCCCTGCCCATTACCTATCAGCGGGTGCGGTCCGCCAAACTGGCACTAATAGTGTTAGCTGCAGTGAAAGATGGCAAATGCATTATAATATGCAGTGACGTACTAGTATGACATTGTGTATGAACGGGAAAAGTTCAATCTGACACTGGGTTTTGTGGTTCAGTATTCAGCACAATCCCTCCCGGTGGACGTAAGAGAGTACCATGCTAGAAGCTCGGAAGATCATTGCTGAGACCTGGCAAAGACTCGAGCTAGATCAGGTGGTCTTACGTCGCAAGCTTGGATGAGCCGTGGTAATTTCGTTAGTGACACATTACACCAAGCATACGCACTCAAACATGCGCTGACACAGCAAGAAACCTTTGGAGGTAGTATTCGAGACTTGGGAGCTCAATCCGCAGCCGACCAAAGATCAGGGCTCTTGCAAGATTGATCTATGAAAGGAACCAACTGACCTGCGCCTTCTCAGGACCCATGAACGCTATAGCATGTCTGTCAAGCACCCCGGTTATAACGTTATAGTAACGCCCACACCAGATTTGTGTGGGCGGTAAGCAATCATTGACTGGGATAACCTTGAAGAGGACCATTACAACATATGACGTCGCGAACAGGCGCCGCCACAGAGTCCAGGTTGTAAGTGTGTGAGCCGGTTCCCGCTCAGTGGTCTCGGTCAAGAAAGCGGTATCGTTTCAGAGCTAGAGGTCTGCAGTATGGACCATTCAGCGCGAGGCAACCCCTGTGCTAGAAATGAACCTCGCGAAGGTTATACGATGATAATAGGTGAAGTGATATTACACAGAATAAGTATACAACCAAGAAAGCACATACGAAAACAGCAAAGCGAGGAAGTCGTCGGAATAAGCCCATCACCATGACATATCTAAATAAGTGTCCGACCTATGATCAGGGCGCTGCCATTTAATGTATCAATGAGACCCAACTAACCTGCACCTCTCTTACTTCTCCGGACCTCATCCATGAGCGCCATAGCATGCTTGTCCAGCATCTGGATATAAGGTTTCAACGACGTCCGCTCCGAATCTACATGGACGAGCGGTCATCAGCGAACCCAAGTAAATCCTCCACGCCGAACTCAGACCAACCAGCATGGCGCTCCTCCCCCTCAGCGCTATCCTGCGCCATCGTCTCGTCCAGTTCGCGCAGCAGCTGCCTGACCGTCGGCACCTGCTCCGGGTCGAAGTCGTCGATGCGCGCGGGGTCGATGGGCACGCAGATCCTGCCGGTCTTGGGGTGCACGCAGAAGGGCGCCTTGAGCAGGTGGTTGCGGTGTTTGGAGACTTCGGCGTCGAGGCGCGGGTAGGTGTATTGAAGGATGATGTCTTCCATCGCTGCTTTCATAGCAAGCTGGTGTGATTTATCAATGCCTGAATGGGGACGGGCAAGAAGGATACGCACGCGCCGAGAGCTCCCCTTGTCTAACACCCTGATCATATTCTTCAAATCATCCCACTTCTGCGACGATGATCTTCCGGGATTGAGTTCCCACAGTTTTCGTAATTCGTGGACTATAGTCTCATCGGGAATGAGGCGCAAAAACGCCTCACATCCTTCCTCGCTGCGAAAACAGTCCTGATCGTCTAAAATAAGTTCGGTGAAGCATTCTGCTAGAGGTTCAAGGGCCATTCTGTTTACTTTTAGTTGGGGGTTTGGCCGGAGGCAGAATGATTGCTTACTGCAATGACGGCGGCAGAGGCCGAGACTTTGGCCTAGCATTCACCTTTTTATGTTGGTCCTTACTTCCCGTGATCACAGCTATCCAATTGACCACCGCCCTCCGTTGATCGTCCGTCAGCTCCATCGCCTCCTTGTCTGATATCCACAAGTGAATCCCACGCCGCCCAGAGTACACCCATAGCAGATGTTTGTATCCAAACTGGTCGCGGAGGGCGCTGTCCAGCACTTTCACTGCAACGGCAATGAATGCCCAGCACCGCTTGCATATCCCGGCGTCGGAGCAGCAGGTACGGATCGAGTCGTAGTCGGTCATATCGATATCGAAGACGAGCTCGCGTTGCATGGGAATAAAGCCGCCGGGTCTGATCGTTTTCTTGTCTCGTGGCTGGGATAGGAAGACTGTTGGCACACATTTTGAAAGGTATACACGTAGGTAGACTCACTCTGGCAGTGTACACTGGTCCGATCTCGAACCTGGTCGGGTTCAGCGCGCACACCTGCTTCTTAAAGTCGTCCACAGTATTAAAGGAGTTGTAGCGCAAGTACACGTCTCCCTGCAACGTGAACGCGAACTCGCGGTGCGTGTAGAGTTTCGTCGGCACATGTTCATGGTTGAGCCAGTTCATTATCGACTTGAAAGGGTACAGTCGTCTGTAAAACGCAAGCATAACCTCCGGGGAAGCGGGTTCATGTTCCTCTGGGATAGTCATACTTGGGACTGGGAATCGGGAGGAGGTATGCGACGCGTGCAGTGAGAGGTAATTTGCGGTGTCGTTACGCGACGCGACGCGCTGGTACGCGCCCGTCACGTCACTGTTGATTGACAGACTCACTCCCAGACTCCCGGTGTGTCCAGCTCCTGCAATCAGAAATGGAACCCCGCACTTGGTAAGTATATGCGGTCTCACCGTCACATGATGTGGACTTATCTCCATTTGAAATTGGATTGATGTGACAGGACATGACTTCGATCCTTTGGTGCGGCACCGACAGCAGGGTCTAATAGACAAATCCTTCGGGTGTACTGTCCGCGTACATTTCTTGCAGGAAACCGGCCTTTTGGGTGCTGCAGGATGCTGCGGTTCCAACTCCAGGTCGCTGTTGCGCTTGCAATCGCGGCGGTTGGAAGCGTCGGTTTCCTCGCTTTCTACGGTGTCGGGAACAAGGAAGGGCAAATCAAGCTGCCCGTATATTCTGACGAGCAAGAGGATGGAACACCGGATCCCTTCAATGTGACGAAGCCAGAGGATGCAATAGACGGCTACCCGGTTAATGAGCAGGAATTCTGGCACAGGGTACGCTGCGTGAGCCGCA